CTAGTGCTAGGTCAAGAGGAGACTTCTTGCAACCCAGGTCCCGGCCAGCTCGTCAAATAGCTTTTGCTGCAGCTCAGCCAGCTCTTGCAGGAGCCGCATACCAGGGCGCACCCACTTACTTTCACCTCTGCGCAGGACCAGCACTTTAATGCTGCTTTCCTGTTTGCACTGTCAACCACCGTACATGTGTAATTCACCACCCATGCTGCATCACTTTATACCAGGGGCTGCAACTGGTATACATGAGAGCAAGGGGAGACGCATCTTACAATCAAGTCTAACTAGGAATCACATTCTTATCAACCGTGCATTGATAAAATAGACATTAACACATAGGTGAGCCAGATGGGTGCCCAGCCATGCATTGGCCAATGTTCAGGAAGGCCTAAGGCCATTGGAACTGCTTGCCAAGGACTACAGCAGATTTGCTATCACCTGGCGTTTAAGTCATGGTTCCATGGCTTTCTAAATGCACTGTGCTAGCTCAGCCCCAGGCTGGGGGCTTGACACAGGCACTACTGCAGCTGAATCTCTCCGGCCTGTGCCAAGCTGGAGGTGAACCTCCCAGCAATGCGCTTAACAGTTGCATTGGGCCGAAAAACTAAAAGCTGTTCTTACGTGTCGAATGCTGATTGATAGAAAAACAAACCCAGTGCTTATCCCCTGGAGTCCTGGCCATCACTGAGCATAGACAGGCTAAGGGGGTGGAAAAGGACCAGTTCCCAGCTCTGGCCATCCCGAAAACTGAGCTGGTATTGACTTTTGTGTCTGGCCTTGGGCCCATCAGGTTCAGTAGACACTGATAGGGTAGATTTGGAGGGGGTGGGGGTAATTTTTCTAGTGCTTAATGAGACAAAGAAAAATTGTCCTGTGTGCAACTAGCCAGGCCTGAGAGTAGCCAGGCCCAGGGCTAGCCTCCAGTCAGTGTATTGGCTCCGCCCCCTAATGGTAAAATTGCACTAATAATGGCGACTCGCTCAGTACTGGCAGAACCATGCAGCTTCTCACAGATTGCACCAGAAAGTATTACCCTGCTTGCCTCCTCCGCTGAGGCCTGTATGTGTAACAGCCGCTGAGGTTGCGTGTCACCAGGCTGCGGGAGCGACCTTTCATTTAAAAGAGCAATTACACGTTACGAACTGCATGGTCGTATGTTCCAAGGCACGGTGATGGCTTACACCTGGGAAACACTCACATGGCTTGTCCGAGTATTGGAAAGCTGCACTCAGCTGCTACCAGCGTGTGCCAGCAGCAAGCTGGAGGGTGAAAAGATAAGGTGGTGAGACTTTCTAAAGCAGCAAGACAGACAGGGAGGGATGCCTGTACAGCTGCACCCTTCCAAGCAAAGACCAAAGCTGGCGGAAGGGGAGCATAGTCAGTGCACAAACCTACAACCAGACACCCCCTTTACCCTTCTGAGCTTGCCAAAGAGGCCTTCCTTGTCCCCCACTCCCAGCAGGCATAATGCACACTGCTGGGTACCATGGGCTAGCCCCTTGCACCACCCCCATGGGCTATGGGTCTCTCAGGCCAAGAGAGGTTAAGTGGCCTCTGACCCAAGCCATGGCCCTGTTCTCCCACCCCCTGAAGATGGTGGGGGCTCAGTTCCACCAATGGCTGGCAGCCATGGGCTGGAGTGGCCAAGGGCACCCACATAGGGTTGCCAGCTGGTTACAGAAAAAAATACCGAAAAAAAAACCACGACAGAAAACATTTGTTAAGTAAAAAAACAAAACAAAAAAAAACACCATGGCCCCTTTAAAACCACGTGGTGAGGTCCAAACAGGTTGCCTGCACCAGGCCAGACAGCTCCCTTGTGGAGCCCAGTAAGCATTAGCATTGCCAGGCTGCCTCCATATTGTGCCGGATAGCCTGGGATTTCACCTCCTGGCCGGGAAAATAATCAGAAAGTATCAGACATTTTAGGTGTCTGGTGTTTTCTGATTTTTTTTTGCTGGACAAGAGGTGAAAATACCAGATGTTCCGGTTCAATACCGGACATCTGGCAACCCTAGCAGCCACAGGAGTGACAGGTTGACTGGAGCAGTTGGGGGGGGTTGGCCAGCAGCTTGGGGCAGACGGGCCGAGGCGTTGGGGAAGGGGGGCAGCTTGGGACTCCAGGGGGAAGGAAGGGGAGCTTCAGGCAGAAGGGGCAGAGCCAGAGATTAGCAGCCAAAGGGCACAGGTCGAGAGGGGAGTGGTTCATGCCCCACCCGTGACCATGACCATCCGTGTCTGTGCTGTACTTGGTTTGAGAAACATACAGGACTCTGGCCTGGCCAACCATTTGCCAGCATGCGGAAGATCACTTCCCTCCCTCTTCCCACGCCCACAGCAGCATAGAGAGGCTGTTAAAGTCCCACAGGCAGACACAGATCCTGAATACAGCCCAGGCTCTGGGCTAACAACTACATGGAGAAACCCCTGGCCTTACCAGTCCCTGCCCTGATACTAGCATTTCAACCGTCTGGCTGTTAATTGCACCGTAATGCCTGGCTGCATGTCCTGCTGTGTGTACAATGCAGGCAACGGACCCCACTCTGCGTGTGCAGCAGCCACGGGGCCTGGGAGGCCGGCGTCCCAGTGGAAACTGCCCCGGGGAGTTACACGCCCGTTTCTCATTGCCACGTGGGAGTCTGGCCGCTCGCTCCACTGCTCTCTTTCCCAAGGCTGAGTAAGGAAGGGGGGGTCCATGTGCAGCCCTCCCCCCACTGACACCTCAGAGCTCCTGGCTCCCAGCTCTGACACAGGGAAGGGCCAGCGGACCTCTATGTGATTGCTGGGAAGGGGCAAGACTTGCCCTTTTCAACACACTGCTCCTCACCCCTCCCTTCCCTGCCACTTCTGAGCCCTACAGATGATCACTCTGCAGGTGGGTTTTATTTCCGCCATACAAAAAAAACCATCAGCTTTAAAGCCACATATTAAAAGTTGTGTTTCTGGGTGTTACAGGGCCAGCGATCGCACAGAGACGGACTCCATTCTGCTGGGAGGTGCATCTGTCGGTGTCCAGCCACTGCAGCTGCTTGCCTGTCCCGGTCTCTTGCCAAGCAGGCCCTGGGGTCTTTGGCTAGGGAGAGGCGTGTGGAAGGGTTTTAGGCATTTGTGGAGGGAGGGGCACTTCACAGCCATGGAGCTGAGTCCCAGAGACAGGTGCTGGCAATCACAGTGTTAAAAGGCACCTCTGGCTCATCCGAACGCCCCAGCTGTTGTCAGGTCCTGACCGACAGGACTCCTCCGTCTGGAGCCAGCTCAGCTAACGACGCAGCAGCCATAGGGCTTCTCCAGCTTGATCCAGGCTCAGTGTCTGTCCAGCGTCACAGCGTCTCAGTCTGGGGCGGGCTGTTCTCCCGATGACAAGCAGGACCTCATGCTCTCTTAGGCCACGACCATTGGCAGATCATTGAGCTCTGAAAAGAGGATACGGGTTGAACCAGAAACCACCTGCAGACCTGTGTGGGCTGTCCCAGGAAAACCAGCAGTGGCCCTTAAAAACAACTGTGTTTGCTCCAGGGTTCAGTCAGTTTGTTGTAATGAGGCTTTAAAGCTCTCAACATTCCAGTTTCATTTGCGGGCTCAAAAGCAAAAGCCCCCGCTGGTTTGGTCATGACCTTACAGCTCCCAGCTTTCATTTGCAAAAGCCCCCGCTGGTTTGGTCATGACCTTACAGCTCCCAGCTTTGCCCAGCCCAAGCTGCCGGCCGCTGGGGCATTCAGCTGAGCTGTGAATGTGGCACCAAGCTGTAATGTTAGTTCGGCCACATTGCTCTCAGTTACCTTCAGGTTTTCACTGATGTAATGCCAGCAAAATCACTGGTCTTACCGTGCTGTAATATTGGGATACATGAGTGGTGAATCAGGTGCTTTGGGTGTATACATTTAGAGGAACCACTAGCTAGAACAATATGTTCCACGTGGATGAACTAACCAATTTTTTTCCTAGTTCCTGACTCTCATGCGTTAAAACTCATGGCCTTAAGGCTGCATAATTCGTGTTCGCTTTATACAGAATAACTCAGGACACAGGACTGGCCTGCCTGAGCATTATTCTCACTGAACCACCAACCCAATTACACTGTAAGTCTGTGGCACAGGCAAAATTAGGGAGTAAACTAAACATGGTGCAAGCTGCATACACAAAATATGAGGGGACGCTCCAGAGCTCATGACCCAGCTGAGGAAAACTGTTGATGCTCATGACCCAACGTAATTTGACTAAAGTGTGGACTCCTGGGTGGGGCTGAGGATAAGAGCTAAATCCGCATCACACTAGCCTGCTGTGCACTGCCCCACACACTGAACAGGCCCTCACGGGCTTTGCTGTGCTCTCCTCGGCTCTGACACCAGGGGCAGTCAATGGGAGCAGTCCATGAGTGGCAGCAGGATGCCTGTGGACAGCCAGCATGCAGCAGGCGTGAACCCTGTTAGATTTGCACCCCAGGCACTGATCTTTCAGCTACACAAGCCCCCATCCAGGCCCCACGCTGGCCTCATTGCAGAGTGCTGGAGCCGCAATCCCCACGAGCACGGGACTCACCCGTTCGGAATTTGTTGTAGGTCCCATTCTCGAGCACTGCGCCGCTGTTATCTGCGCAGCAGGCCAAGCCCTTCTCTCTCCACCTGGAAAGAGTTAAACCAGCGATGAAGCCACAGGCACAGAGACTGGGTCAGGCAGCTGCTCCACCTGCCCACTATTGTCTGATGATTTCCTTGTGCGCCAGCCCCGTGCCCAGCAGCTGGTTCTTGGTTCTCTGCAGTGCCGAGCACAACAGGGGCCCAACCTGACTGAGCCCACGAGGCGCCAGGGTGACACAAATAAGGGTTTTCAAAAGTGCCTCAGTTTCAAAAGAGCCTAAATCTAAGATTGTCCTAGGCTGCTAAGTGGCACGTGACACCCAAACGGCAGCAGGGCTGTGAGGCTCCCTTCACTACGCCCCGGCTGCAGTGAGACCTCTTTGCTACTGCTGTCAGCTGAACAGCCGGACACATGCGAGGTGCCCCATGAAACAAAGGAAAGTGTAGGCCCTGCCCAGATGGTGGCTGGAGGTGAGATAGGAGCCATAAATTCATCCCGGTTGTGGGGGAGCATAGTCCCAGTCAAGGGGCTAAGCCGTTTGGCCCTGGCATACAAAGGAAGGTCTGGGTTAAGAAGTGTGAAGGGGAAAGCCAGGCTAAGGGGTGAGAACAAGGTGGATAGTGATAGTTGAAGGCCTTTTTGGGTTGGACAGGTCAGCTAGTTCATTCCCCTCCATCGCAGCAAGGCAGAGTTAGCTACGTCTACACTACACAGGTAAGTTGAGGTATGGCACCATGAACCCACTGTTGGATGGCCACACTAAGCTCCTTGTGTCCCCAGAGCACATGCGTAGTGGCAGCTCTTGCGTGGGCACAGAGAGCAGTGCACGGAGAGTAGCTATCTCACTGTGCAGCCGGGCTGGGGGAGGGTTTGCAATGCCTCAGGGGAGCGGGTTCAGCATCACATGAGGCAGGTTTTTCAATCCCATCAGTCCTTGGGCATGTTTGTTTTCCAGCTGCACGGCGACTGCTTTGGTACCCTGCAAGCCAGCCAAAGCATGGGTCCGCCACTGCGCTTTCAGTATTGTGCCATGCATTGGAACACAAAGCTCGAAGGGGCACCCAATTGGGGGAGGAGCTATTCATCTGGGGGAGGCCTTGATGGAGCATTTTAACACAGGGCCAAAGTAACATCTAGCTGTAGCATGCTGAGCCTGGCACTGTTTGTTTGCATCCTGCTATGAACCTGGCCACTCACAGGCACCTATTTCTATCGTCTGTGAATGGTAGCATGTGATGGGGAATAATAAAGTTACATTCTGTTTCCAGGCATAGATTTTTAGTCCACACCCATATAAACTGAGGGAAACCTTGTACATGCAGGGGGATGGCTCTTTAAAGGGGAAGAAACAGGACTTTCACAAGTACATACACCAATGAGACTCTCACAGCGGGGTGGAAGTGTGGCTCTCATTGGCTGTGTCTAGACTGGCAAGTTTTTCTGCAAAAGCAGTAGCTTTTGCGGAAAAACTTGCCAGCTGTCTACACTGGCCACTTGAATTTCTGCAAGAACACTGACGATCTCATGTAAGAAATCAGTGCTTCTTGCGGAAATACTATGCTGCTCCCGTTTGGGCAAAAGTCCTTTTGCGCAAAAGGGCCAGTGTAGACAGCTCAGATTTGTTTTGTGCAAAAAAAGCCCCGATCGTGAAAATAGCGATTGGGGCTTTTTTGCGCAAAAGAGCGTCTAGATTGGCACGGACGCCTTTCCACAAAAAGTGCTTTTGCAGAAAAGCGTCCGTGCCAATCTAGACTCTCTTTTCCGCAAATGCTTTTAACGGAAAACTTTTCCATTAAAAGCATTTGCGGAAAATCATGCCGGTCTAGACGTAGCCACATGTGTTTAATCTCCCATGAGGGTGGAGCACCTTCCATACCGCTGCAGTCCCAAGAACATACATAGAGTGGGAGAAGGGAGCACAGAGAAGCCCTGGAATTTACTCAAGTAAAAGGTGTGTTGAAAACGAGGTTTTGTTTTAACACAAAAACCTTCCTCAGGAGAAAAACTCTTTTCTTTAATGAACCATTTACACTAGAGTCGTACACACATTTCCCACCCTCCATCAGTAATTTAAACCTGCACAGTTTTCATATATAAAAAAATAAACGAACACAGGGTTTTCTGGTTTTACTTGCCCAGAGAAAGTTTTGATTCTGGTTCTTTTCATTCTTCCCTAAAGCCATGCTGGAGTTTTCCCGCAGCGTGAGGCTAAGCACCTTGGCCCCTACCCAGATTGCTCCCAGCCTCCCGCCCATACACCACCACATGTTTGGAGCCCCCACCTTGTAAAAGCAGCATGTCTGCAAAGCCGCAGCAGAGGGACTATTTGCCTCCCTGGCCTTGCTGTGCCTACTGCCGCTCTTTGATTTTTGAGTCACCCGTCAGCCCTTTTTCTGCAATGTCTCAAGCAGGGTCCTGGAGCAGGAGTGGATCTGTGCCTGCACATCCTCCTCTCCCCATGGACCCAGGGGATCCCCTGCCTCCCATGCACTCCAGGCAGAAGTGCCTTTGCTGCAGGGAGTCGGCCGTGCTCAGCTGGACAGCTGCTAAGTGAGCTTTCCACCTGTGCAAACAGGAAGATCAACTTCAAAACTTCCCGGGGCTTTAAACAAGAGAAGGGACATTCACCCGCGTACCTGGCGGTGGGGCAGCAGAGTTCAAAAGGGTGACCAGCGAGGTCATGGTGGGCATTGTGGGACACCTTCCTGGAGGCTACTTGGAGCAACATTAATAACACAGGCATTGCCTCACCCTTGCTATGCCATCCCAAGCATTAGGCCAAGCTAGTTTTAGTAGGTCTGCATAGCAGGTGAGTTAAAGCGACAGGGAGCATTACAGTGTGTACACCGCATAGCTAGGTTGACATAAGCCGCCCTACGTCAACTTATCTTTGTGATGGAGACAGGCCCCTAGCAGCATCATTTCAATAACTCTAAGAGGTTTGGGGCCATCAATGTCCCTGGAGATTTTAGCCACAGGATATTTACCAGTGGAAAGCAAATATGAGTGAGATGAGCAGAGCAGCCACCACGTCTGTGAGAAGCCACATGACTCTGTATTCCTTTGGCGTCTGGAAGAGAACAGAGAAGGTGGCCAGCAGCAATAGCTTCGTCTAAACGAAAATCTGATTTGCAATGTCATTTGGGGGATTGGCCTGTGACGCTTGCAGTGCCCCTTCCTGATGTTTCAGTTATTTGAGAGGAGCAGCCACCTCGCTGGGTGTGGCCTCCTGTCAAGGAGTAGGCAAGTGCTCACCCTCAGACTCAGAGATGGGGCCTGCCACGTGCCTGGCAGCAGGGAAGAGCCTGCACTCGGTGGGAAGGAACCGGGTGGGGATCCTTTAGTGAGGCGGCTGGACACAGACTGAGCCTGTTGTTCTGGGACTGCCCAGCTCCTGGACGAAACACAACCTGCGATGTCACCATTCAGACACTCCCTAAATCCTGGCTGGCTGATTACTCAATAGGCCAAAGTGCCCAAACCGTGGGGTGTGCCCTAGAGGTTAGAGGGGAAGGAACATTGCGGAGGGATGTGGGAGGGGCCCAGCCACAGCTCACAGCACCACACCTGGCCATGTCCCCAGTCTGACGCAGCTCTGCACCCAACAGCAGGCCTGGCTACAGCTCTGCTCACAACCTCGGCCCCACACTGCAGCTCCAGTCCCAGCTTCTGCCCCAGCCTAGGCATCATACCTGTCTGCTTCCTCCCCTCTCTCTAGTCCTGGGAGCTGTGGTCCTGCTCCCAGCCCCAGCTCAGGGGACAGGGGGAGGTGTCACAGACAGGGGTAAGGATAAATTTGGGGACCGTTGCCCTGTATCAAATCCCTAAGTCTGAAAGCCCCTGACCACTGGGAACGTCCCGATTTGTGTCTAAACTTTGCAGGTTTTGCCTATCGGTGATTATGTCCCATTTGTGAGCTTGAAGGCGGCCCTATGGCTACCTAGAAAATGTAGTAATCTTCGGGGTGGGCAGATTATGGGTGGGGCCCACAGTGCAGGAGACCTCTTAACCCAGCAGTGTATTCAGACGCTCTGGATGAATACACTGGGATCCCCAGGTTTCTCTGGCCGATTTCTTGGAGTGGCAGGAGGAAAACACAAGCGCCTCACAGCAAAGTCACGCATGAGCAGGAAGCTAGGGTGCTGCAAGACCACCAGCGTGGTTGAGGACATCTAGACAGAAGACCTCCCTCAGCAGGCGGGAGGCTGTCTCGTCAGGTAAGTGTGAGCCCTGGCTCTTCAGGGGCTCTCTAAAATAGGTTTCTTTTCCCTCCTCTCAAGGCCTGGGTTGCTCAGCTCTACCAAGCCGTGGCTCAGCTGTGTTTCTCAGCCACACTGGGGACGTTTTGCCAGAGGGTACAGTGAGTTTTAGTCCTATGAATAGTCAGAATGTGCCACTGGGTCTGAACCATCATTGGCTCACAGTGCCCCTTAGTGCCAATGTGGTTGGCACCAAGAGATGGCAGTTGAGGGATTAATTCCTCACCCTTTCTGATAGGGAATACTGGTGCTGAGGGTGAGGATGGGGGGGCTTTGCACTGCCTCCATGGCACCTCCATGTCTTCAGAGGAACAAGGAGAGAGCAGGGCTTGTCCAAACCTGGATTCCTCCTCCAGAGGCCAACAGGGCCCATTTAAACAAGGCTACCAGAAAGGACATCCCCTTAGCTTGTGTCAGGTCAAGGGGCCTCCCCTCCATCTCCATTCCACTGCAGGGATGAACCTGTCTTGCAATAGACACAGGTAACCACGACCATCCTCTCCAGCCAGTCACTTCTAGAGAGCAGGCCTGGGTTTTTCTCCTTACCATGAGGAAGAGAGGTCGGTTGATATTCTTCAGGATGTGTATGGTGTTGGTGGTCACAGAGTGTGCTCCGGCGCACCAGGCCAGGGAGAAGAGCCACGGCTCACTGATCACGTAGAAGTTGGTGGTGATGTTGGCCTGAGCATATTTCCTTTAAAATACAAAGACATGTTTACCTCCATCAAAAAGCAATGGTAAGGGCAAATGGCCTCTCTTTGGGCCAGTTCGGTGGACTGCTAACAGTGCATTGAGGAGGACTGCCTGGGGCGTTTGAAAACCTAGAAGTGGAAGGAGCCAAGACTGGCCAACCAGCTGATCTTATGACAAGTCAGTTATTATTGGACAGACTGGAACATCTGATCCTTTGGGGACAGTCACATTCCAATAATAATGTAAAAACAAGGTTCTTTCAGTCATGCTTTTGTATTAACGCTCAGTTTATAATGAGTTAACGATTAGATGTTTTAATCAATAGTTAATGAATTGTATAGGCCACTTATAACCTTAGCTTGCATCCATCTGTAACACCTTTTACAGATGGCCTTATAACCATCAATAACACTTGGTTCTCATAGAATCATAGAATCAGAAGAGACCTTAAGAGGTCATCTGACAAGTGTCTGTTTAACATACTCTTAAATATCTTCAATGATGGAGATTCCACAACCCACCTAAAAATTAATTCCAGTGTTTAACCACCCTGACAGGTAGGAAGTTTTTCTAATGTCCAAAAGGCTTATAACCGCCATTCATCATTTACTAACCCGTTATAAAGTATTCCTAAATGGCACCTAATAAAATGTAACCATTCATCCTAGATTGTTAAAGCAAATGGTGCCTGTTCCAAACAGATATATTGTCAGTATCAATACTTGTTGTTGTTCAATATCACTGAATACAGTGAAACACTGATCTGTTTTAGTGCTGCTTGAAATTTTGGAACAAGCATTGTTAGAAAAGACTGCAGCACCTTCCCATTCAAAGCAATAAACTGCTGCTTTTTTGACAACTGAAGTGCTCTTGCTGTTTGAGAAAAGCAGAAATTGCAACTATAGAGAGTGAACAGAACAGCAGAGTTGAGTTTTCTATGAGACAGAATCATTCTAGAAATTACTCACTGAAACATGAGCCCTTCCATTTGAGGTTTTGTGTTTTCAAGGTACTGTAAACTTGTAGCAGTGGTAGCACTAGGGTTATATCTCCTATAAACCATCCGCTAGGAGACAGTGGTCAGTTGCCAATTCAGTATTCACCCATGCCAATGACATTACTATCAGTAAGGCCCTTCTTGATTCATGGGATGACTTTTAAATATTTGCAGCTGAGTTGCAAACAAGACATGGAAAATCATGGGAAAAGTAATAACAAACCTTTATTAATAGTGGCAATTTGAAAAAGCTAGAGTTAATCAAAAATTGCTGGAATAGTATCAATCAATTCTCAAGTATTATGTTATCCCTGCTAATTTTTTGATGATCATACATTTTGCTACAACTATTTTACAGTCATTAAAAAAGGTGACCAGTACAATATAAGAGCTTGCCTACACTGGCTACCTATTACAGGGCTAACTTCTGGTGAAAGAAGCGATGAGGAGTCCTGTGGCACCTTATAGACTAACTGAAGTGTAGGAGCATAAGCTTTCGTGGGCAAAGACCCACTTTGTCAGATGCATCTGACGAAGTGGGTCTTTGCCCACGAAAGCTTATGCTCCTACACTTCAGTTAGTCTATAAGGTGCCACAGGACTCCTCGTCGCTTTTGCAGATTCAGACTAACACGGCTACCCCTCTGATACTTGGCTACTTTTGTCACCAAATCTCCCTGTTTGGTAACAAAACCTGGAGAGCGTGCACAATGCAATGCAACAAAAGTCACAATAAATGCACAGTTTTGGCGACAAAAAGCTTCCCCTTTGCAAGAGTCTTTTGTCTCTCCCACTCCCTTTACCATCGACAGTCATGCAGTGTGCACTACAGACAGCATTTCTCGAGTTTATTGAACTCCAGGATGTTTCCCACAATGCTCGATTGGACACTTTGGCTTTGAACTCCACTGCTCTGCAGCCATGTAAGCAGGTAAACAGAAATGACTCTCCCACTTGCAAACTCCAGGAACTTTAAAATTCATTTCCTGCTAGCTGACTCATTGTTTAGTGGTCCTCCTGGTGTCTTCTTGGAGAAACAGAGGTAGCTATCACTCAACACGCTTTCCTACTTGAGCACCTGAGAGCTTTTGCATCTTGTCAGTGTGTGGGGTGACAAATCAATGCAATCAAAGCTGAGTGTGACCCGTAGGAACCAGGACACGTACAGTCACATTTCTTGAGCCCTTTATAAGAAAGGGTACAATTGAGACATCCAGCAATGCAGAGCCAAGATAAAGGACCTCTGACAGGACTACCAGAAGGCAAAGGAGGTAAACAGCCAGACTGGTGCTGCACCCAAGACTTACCATTTTTATAAAACACTGGATCCACACCCTGCATTTATGTCTGTGAAATACCTACAGTGAAACACAAGTGTCTGAAACACCATGAAGAAGTACCCAATCTGATTGACGTATTCTGTGGCAGAGTGGGGTAGTACTGTAATGGGAATGTGCATGCAATCAAATGTCCCACCAGTTTGGAAAGCCCACTTCAGCAAAGCCAACCAGAGTTACAGTTCTATGTAGCAAAATGTGATTTATTACCCCGCACACCTGCATAAGCACTGCCCCGATGGTCAACTTCCCCACTCCAAAGTGATTTGCAACTGAATGACAGCAATCAGGAGTCTCCAGCTTCCACAAAGCAATGGCAACATGCTTCTCTACCAAGAAAGCAGCTCTCATTCAGGTGTCCTTGTGCCACAATTCAGAGGCCAGCTCCAGCAAGGTTGCTTTATGCACCCTGAAGTTCTGTAGCAACTGCTTTTCATCCCTCACCTGCATGACAACGTGATCCCACCACTCAGTGCTGGTTTCCCTAGCCTAAAGCAACAGACTACTCTGCCCAGCTGCTCTGTGACAGCCCAATGCCCTGCCCCTTCACTGCTGCCCATGTCACACCGTCGTCCACATCCGAGTCGTCGTCTTCTGATACTGAGTTCGTAAGTAGCTCTGCTGCAATGTGAGATGTCCTAAGCACATTGAACACACCACAGGAGAGAAGTCTGGGATCCATCCATCTCACAGAAGATGCTGCAGTGCATAGCAAGGACTGTCAGTTTCAAAGGGTGCGGAAGGAAGCCGGAAGCCCTCGGAGGTCCATGAAGCAAACTGGTGGCTGACAGGATGTTTTTCATGTTTCCAAAATGCCTTGCACTACGTTGCAAGTTCCCAGAGTGCCTAGAGGCTGAAGGTAACACTGGGCACTCTGGGATGCTTACCCACATTGCTTTGCTCTTTCTGTTAATGGGGGAGCTAACAATGTTACCATAATATGTTGACAAAGGGCGGCAGCGTGAACATGACTTAGCAACTTTCTTGTTGGCAACTTATGAATGTCAACAAATCTTTTCAGTGTAAACATGGCTTGAAATTCAGAAGACTAAAAGTCTTAAAACACTGCTGAAGAAATCGAGCTTTCACAGGCATTGAATGCTAGCGCACTAACAACTATATACTCAAAATATATGAAAAGTAAGAGAGCTAAACTCAAAACTGCAGCAGAAGCCAAATCTGACCTGCGATTTCCACAATATCATGAATTAAGTAGGGCCCCATATATTAGTTTCTCCTTTTCTATAATAAAGCCCCACCCCTTTACATGTAATCTACATAGCAAATCTAATTACCGTTAGAACAACTACAGTGCAGTTTCTGAAGTACCAAAAGGAAAGGTCCCTAGATCTGGAATCTGCAAATGGAGGTAAACCCATTAGGCTCCATAACTGTGATTCCACATGGCACTTGAGTGTAATCTGGATGGAGTTTTGCTGTGCACATAAATAAAGTCAAAGGATGCCAGGCAGTTGAATGGTTAATTCTATTCAACACTCTCTGACTTTGGGGATGATTCACCACCTATTGAGGTCAGTGGAAAAATCAGGAAATGAGAACTCCAGGGTTCGCCTTACATTACCACCACTGATTCACTGGGATCTCAGCAAAGAGTCACCTATCATGACTTCAGCGGTAGTCGCAGTTGAAATTATAAGCACCAGTTCATGCCCACATACATACAGATGCTCCGTGGGTGGCATGTATAAGAGGTCTAGGGAGGCTAAGCCTCCCCAGAATAAATAGGATGGCCATACAGGGAGCAATGTCAGCTGTGAGTCACCTCTTTTTGGAGGCCACCAGCCCACCGCCTTTGTGGCCTGGGCGCAGGAGTGCTAGAAGCTCTCTAGAAGTGGGAAGGCCCCCAGCACATAGACCTTGGCCCTGTACCCCCAAGACCATGCCTGTAGTCCACCCCTCCCCCCTTGTGACCCTACCCATGCTCCGCCTCTTCCTGACCCCACTCTGCCTCTTTCCCCATGGCCCTGACCACCACGTGGCCTCGCCACCTCTTGCTCACCCTTAAGGCAGGAAAAAAGTGGGAGAGTCCATTTTTCAAAGTGATAGGGGTGCGGCCGCAGGCAGAGAGGTGAAGTGAGGGTGGGGCCTTGGAGGGAAGAGGCAGAGTGGAGCAGGACCTCAGGGGGGGAGGGTGGGTGGGGAAGAGCGCAGGTGTGGCCATGGTTGGGGGGAAGGCATGGAGTGCAGGTGGGGCCTTATGGGGGAGGAGTGAATTGTGAGGCAGGGCCACAATCCGGGTGCTAGCGGCCCCCCACTTCCAGGGAGCTTCCAGCACTCCTGGGAGTAGCCCCCCAGGCAAAAGACTTAGGCACCATCTATGCAGCTGCTCTTCTGTAGGGACTGAGTGTGAGACTGTAATGGAGCTACTCCTAGAGCTAGGAGGAAGTGCCAGTCTGGGAGAGTCACTGACGCCAATCGCTGAAGGGAGACATAACCATATGCACTAAGCTGGCCTATTACATGTGCAGGGTTTTTTTGCAATTCCACTGAAGCGTCTTGCCTCCTATATGAGGCTTATGCAGCAACCTACCGGATATCTTCACTGGACATTACAGAATAGGCGAGATTGCGCTTGAAAATATTGCGTCTCAATAGCTCCTCAACTGGGGCCTTACCGCCCGTGATGTGCTGAAACCCAGGAATTGTTGACTGAATATAGGAGCGCAAATTGTTGTCCAGCCACAGGACCTGTGAGGAACAGCAGCAGCTAGTGAATTGACAGGAATATTCCTGAACAGCCTCCTGCCTTCTACATACTCCCATAATACAAGGAAAGAGGGGTTCACTCAGTGACTTGTCACATACTTTCAAACACAAGTCTGCAGGGAGTAAATTTAAAATAAACACACATACTCAAATACTACAGAGAAAGGACTTGGACTCATTGACAGAGCACGCTGTGGTGTGCCTGTGGAACTCCTTGCTACAGGAGATCAGGGCGTCAGATACTGTATCCGGATCTTTAAAAGCACTGGATAATTTTACAGACCAATATTTGTATTTATACCTGCTAAAATAAGGGGAATAAGGGTGGCAGCACCCAGAGCCCAAGGCCCTTTAAATCGCCACCAGAGCCCACATGGCATGCTCCATGCAGCTCTAAAGGCTGTGGAGGTGTGGCGTGGCGGGGCATGCTACAGGCGGTGCTGTGGGCTGGCTTCCACCAGTCCTGTCCCTTTCACCCAAGGCCCTGCCCCCATGGGAGCACAGACCAGGAGCTCCTCTCATCTACCCCAGGGACCTGGTATGGCTGTCAGCTTCCCTAGCCTCATGTAAGTCATTGCACAATTACATGGATTTTAACATCCCCCAGAAGCCTCAGACATTGATCATTAAGGGTATGTCTACACTACAGCGCTAATTCGAACTAACTTTGTTCGAATTAGTTAATTCGAACTAAGCTAATTCAAACTAACGCATCCAGACTAAAAAACTAGTTCGAATTAGCGTTTTGCTAATTCGAACTAGCATGTCCACATTAAGTGGACCCTGAACCGGGGTTAAGGATGGCCGGAAGCAGTGCCGGCAGGGCATCAGATGAGGACTTAGAGCGTGGAGCTGCTGCCTCAGGCAAGCCGAGGGCTGTGCTTAAAGGGACCCGACCCCCACCCC